GATGCATGACTGCAGAAAATTAGTTACTGATTACTTAGCAGACCGAATTAACGCCGTGCATGGAAACCTGGTTTGGGGGACGTATCATGAAAACCACCATGAAAGCAAAAAAGAGAGTAGAACAGCTTGGACAACAGTTGATCGCAGGTACCTTTGCACCCAGGTGGGGGGTGTCTTCGTTGGCCGGAGACCCCCCACCTGGCTCCGGCCCCCTGCGTGTAAAAACTCTTGGAAACAGAGTGTGACACACACACACACACACTTCACAGGATAGAGACAGGTCACAAAAGCAAGTACTGTAACTTAATTTGGATGTTCGCCTCCAGCAGTCTGGTCGTTGATCTTAAAGGCAGTTTCAGAGGCTCGATGGCACTGGCACCCCTACAGGTCTCAGACAGATGGGGTCCATAGAAACCACCTAACTTGGGGATTGTGCCATCTACTCTGAAACCACTGTAAGGCAGTTTCCTTTCCTTCAGTTCCTTTCGTGACCAACGCAGTTAGCTCTGGGACCGGGCAGGAGCGGCTGAAGCGGGAGCAAGACTTGAGGCAGTCGTTGCAGCAGGAGGTCTGGTCTCCAAGCGCTGGGACGTATGACGGACATCGGACCAGCGCTGTTGGAAGACGTAGGACCTGGAGCACGTCCTGGACCATCCTTGATTTAGTAAGACTCTTGAGGACCGTAAACCCTCCCTTTGAAGAGGATGTTCAATTCATTTCAATTGGGGGGGTCTATGGTCGTCAAGAGTCTACATGAACGTCCTGGCTTGTTCTCATGTCCATGTTTGGGTGCTGTCCGAAGACCAGACCGGTCAGCCGTCACCTGGGGTTTTCCAAACGGGTGTTTCGTGGCCTTTTGGGGGTTGGTCCAACAAGCCCCCCCCCAAAGCACTGAGTTCTTGAAGAGTTCCTTTCTTAGAAATTCCTGGTTTCCGGTCACCGAAGGTATTCCAGGGCTCAGTTTGGTGAGTTTTCTTTTTTCGGCTTCAGACCTTCAGAATTTCGAGTGGAGCCAGAAATCGGGCCAACACTGTTACGATGTTTGTGTCATATGTTATGTCTCATTTTGTACTTTGCTTGGGAGTTCATTGGATTCTCCCTGCAAAGCAAAAGACTGGGGGATGAGTTATGACATCGAAAGAAACACATAAGAAACACTTTGTACTTGCTTCATTAGCAATCTTTTAGTGATGCAGCGCCTCCACAAATGACCCATCGAAGTGCACAGAGGGTCCCTCGAGGGTCTCTTTATCAGGACTGTCGGAGCGGTGCGTTTGCAGGATGCGTCAATCGCCCCAAGCCAAAACAGGTCCCCTAACCCACCCAGTTCATCACTTTCTCAGACGAGAAAGCTGGATTCCAGCGTTCAATACACAATCCACAATCCACCAGACCTGGCCAGCGGGCCGTGCCGTGCAGAAGTCGAGGTGCGGGATTTGGCCGTGCAACTGGAGCTGGGGCGCAGGCCGAAGCGTTTGTGCGTGGATGGCTCGCGTTTTCCAGAGTGGCTTTGGCCAGAAGCCCCAGAAGATAGACTCCGACTAAGGAATCTGTTGGTTTCAGCGTCCAGTGATTTGTGGAAGTTGATACCCAAGCGTGAAAACAGGGCTGCCACAGGGCCAACCTGCTTTTGTGGATCTAGGTGGATGATCTATAGGTGCATGGTCGAGGAGGACAATGCAGTGACAGTACATCTCTTTAAAGCTGCTATTTCAATGATGAGCGAAGTTGCGAAGGAACACACCACTTGGCCACAGAAGAGAAGCTTTCGGAATGCATGCGCTTCACCCCCATCTTGGCCTGAGCAACAAGAGTTATCAATTTCCAAGCACTAGTTTAAACATCATTTGTTGTGTGTTAGTTTTTAAATGTGCAGCAAAACAGCAAAATAATTGATTTATATAGCTCCATGCCGTTACTTTCATGTTTTTTTTTGTTTCAGTGTTGTGTTTTCCACGTGTTTTTGGTTCCATCCTGGTGCGAGGCCTGACCGACCAGATTTGTCCGGATTCCCATGGTATTGTGTCGTATGGTGTCCCACGCAGCTTTTCAAGCACATGAGAGTAGAACCAGACTGTTGTTCATGGACCATTGTGTAGAGAAACTATTGGATAGTCTCAGTTCAGTAGATTAAGTTAAACCCGTGCTTCCAACTATTGCAAGTTATATGAATTATATGTCGGAAAGAGCATGTGCAGTATTGTTTCAGATATCATATTTGATCATAGAACCACACTGTGGTCGTCTTATGAGCTGAGCAATGTTGACCCACATTGCATTGTCCCAAGGACCTACTTCGCAAGACCCCAGTACTCCATGGGCCATGGAAGACTTTTTTGGGTGAACCATGTCAGAGACCCCCAAGTGGTTTTGAAGTATATCCCGATACAAACGGATCCTCCACAAGATGAGGCTTCTTACACCACGTCCGAGTGGGTGCGGAGTTCTGATGTTCGGAGAGCCTCACAGCAGGGTGATGCATGTACCTTTAGGCGGTTTGGGCATCGCTTCTAAGGGCAGGGCAGCCTTGTGCAAATCAGAAGAGGTCACGATCACTGACAAGCAGAGGTCTGAGTCTAATCCCTATAGAGCTGCTACCCTAGACGGGCCTGCGCACGTGAAAGCATGGTGGGTGGTGAGTGGCTTTGGCCATGGTGGGTGGTGGTTCAGCATTGATGTCAGGTGCTTGGTTTCACAGGATACATGCATGTTTGGGATCCTGTCTCAGGTCTGGTCTAGTGCCACGATGTGCACTGTGTCACGATGTGCCACGTGTTGGATTTGAGCACTGGACCACTGCCGTAATTTCATGAGCGTAGGGTGTGTGTGTGTGTGCGGCAGAGCTATAGGAATTGTTGCATCGCATCTTTTAAGTTCTTGTGCCCGTCTAGAGTCTACAACCCTGCAGATGAGGGCGGTGGACACGGCAGTGCTGGTACTGCAATTTTGGTCAAATGTGTTGTCAAAGATGTGGATGGAAACCAAAGGCGGCTACTGCAAATCTCACCTGCCAGTCTTTGCGTGTTGTTCACGTCGAAGACTTTGCCCTTTTTTGGCTATACACAGCACATTAATTATACACCTTTGGCAAAATTGGGCTGGAATCGTTGCGAGGGAGAGAGTTTGACACGGGCTTGGCACTATCCTCAGAGCATTGCTCCCCAGGGAATCTGCATCGGACGACACACTTGCCAAGCGATGCATCTAGGTTTTGTCAACTTCCGGCGAGAACACTGCAGCACAGTCATTACACTCCCAAAAGCCACCGTCAAGGGAATGACCTGGAGGAGGTTCGAGGCGGAGAAATCCTGCAGGCTAAGACATGGCAAGTTCGTCCTTTCCTTGTGTTTGGAACCAGCTGCTCCTGAATGGGTGAATCGTAGTGTGGGTTTGCTGCACAACGTCCAAACGTCCCAGCTCGTCACAGCTCGTACGTTTCGACCGTTGCTTCGATGAACGCTCCATTTGTGCGTCCTATTCCGCTGAGACGGAGACCGGACCGCATTGGACTCTCGTTCCAGGAAATGTGTGAAGACCGCTGGACCGCGTATGATTCGATTCACAGTGACTCCACCAGACCTGGTCGAGGCTTTTTGAGGGGTATGCCGGCACCACACCGAAGGGGGCCTGACAGGATCGGTAGCCAAATCGGCGTCCATGTCCATGCGCCTCTCGCTTCTCTACTTTTGGTCCATGTGTGTGTGCATTTGCACATTTGTTTGAAGCCTGGCGGTACTAGGCCCTCAACCAGATACCCTGAACTGAATCAGAATCCTAACGATTTCGATATTTGTCACCCCCCCCGCGGCGCGCAGCCAGACGAGGCCCAGCAAACGAGGCACCTCTCCCGCGTCTCCTGCGTCGCTCGATTGCATCGTGCATGGATGGGGAGGCAACTACGGGCACCAAGCAGAAACCAGTTTGGTAAATCCGAAATACTCAGCAAGTCTGTTTTGTGGGGAATGCCTTTGAATTCCGTACATTTCCAACAATGACAGAAACACCGTTTGGCCATAAAGAGTGGTTTCTGAACCAATTGTGTGCATCATTTGTTGTTCATTGTGTTTTGGGTTCGGGTCAGAACATGTTGCGTATTTGACGTGTCCATTTTTTCTTGTGCGACCTTTGCGCAGTGTAGCAGCTAGCAGCCATATGGATGACTATAGTGATGACTATATAGTGATTACATTATGCTACAATATAGTGTTATACTATATTATATATACTATACATTATATTATGTTATATTATATGACCAATAGTATATTGCAAACACACGTTTATGTTTGAATATTGAATGGCTCACATCAGTTATATATGTTGGAGCATTTCTGTTCCCTGCCTTCGCCACAAGACCGCAGATCGAGCCACCCGGCACAAGACGCACCTCTCCCTCGACTCTAAGGCCATCTTCTTTGAGCCCTGGACCTCGGGGAGGTGCGATCCTTGGGGATCTGGACGCTCCCGACCTCCCGATCTTTGAACACCTGCCGACCTGCCGAGGTCCCTGCCGACTGTGATTGGTCGTTGTGTTGGTTTCCGAGCAACACAATGGAACAGGATGATCTCTTACAAAATACAGGCATCAGACACAATACATGTTTGTTGTAGTTGAACGACTTTGGTTTGCTTTGGTTGTATGTACAACAAAAAAACATGTTGTGTGTGTTTTGTTCATATTCCTTCATTGTGCGGCTAGAATTGGAGAAAGCCTCAGATATTGGCAAACCCTCCCCATGATACTGAATGGCATGGCATATTGCAAAACTCTGTGCGTTCTCAACGTCATCCTACTAGTGAAAAGCTGGTGAACCCTTCGGATGGTTCCACATCAACTCGGGGTGGTTGATCTTCCAGAGGTGAAGTGACCTGAACTGGGACCTGAACCTGGGGTACCGAACTGGGATAGGATAGTTCGAGTCCTTCAACCTCTGTTGCTTCATGAACAACCAGATCGACCGTGGATCGACCGGGGACGAGATCGCTCGCTCGGCCTGGAACGGGCTCAGACCCCCGGGTGTCCAAAAAGGACGCGCTTGAGGGAGAAAGCAGCCCGACCGATTCCGAGATGCAGTTTTGTTGAATTCGGTTTAATGGTTCTTTTTCTTTGGTTCTCACTATATGCCTTATATGCCAATGCATCCAAAAAACCTCTCAAGACACCCAGCTTCCTAGGTCCCCATGCCAGCTCATTCCCTCACCTGTGTGGTTTCCTTGAGAAACATTATTTTGAAGTATGGTTGAAAGGACATATACAAAAACAGGGACATTCAATTTCCTTCATGTTGATGTTTTCAAGTTTACCTACAGTAGTAGTTTTGATGAGAAAAGGACATTTTCAGTGAAGGGGCTCCTAGGACCCGAAACCTAGCTGTACATCTTCTACTACTACTACTACTACTACTACTACTACTACTACTACTACTACT